TTTTTATCTATCAATAATAACATGATATTCACGATAATAATAAGTATATAGTTTACACTCAGTTCATAACTCAACACAGACTTTATTATTATATATTTTTCAAATATAACGGTCATAAAGCCAAGACAAAATTCACTGATGTTGTTGAAATTTAAACCACCCCTAAGCATCCCTTATTTGTTAAGTCAGGACAGCAAATAAATTAATAATATCCTTATCGATTTTCTTGCAAACCAAGATACACTTATAAGTATAACTATGGAGTAGTAATTTTCTTTAAAAAGTCTTCGGCTAACAGATTTAATTCTAAATCAACCCTCTCTCTCTCTCTCACACACTGTCATACTTTTTATACGAAATTAAATTTCCAAAAATTCTTGAAAAACCAAACGCGTTATTCAACAATTTTCTTGAGAAGTACGTTGCTCGTACTTTTTCATGCCTTGTTCGATTGAGAGATACTCCAAGTACAATTCCTACAGTTGACGAGTTTCAGGTCATTACAATTATTTATAGTAATAAATTAGTATCGAATAAACAGTATTAAGATAATGATGATGAACTCACAACAAACACCTCCTTTTAACAAAAAAAATATGTGTAGTTTTCATAGACAAATAAATATTTTCAGAGTTAGGTAAATTCAGACTAAATCAGTTAGTTTTTAAAACACTTGACAAAGTTTAAAAATTATAAATTTATAATTATTTTTAGTTTTGGTGATATGAAATGTAATTGACCAGTTTATTTTTAGTAGTAATACGAGTGCTGTCAATAAAATGGAATATACGTAAAATTACACGAAATACAGGAAATTTAAATGAAAACAATCCACCTTAAATAATTTTAAAGTTGATGCTTTTATAAAAAAATACAAAAATAAGTTAATAATCATATAACGTGAGGTCGTCTTTTTGTTCATGTATATTCGTTATAACTTTCTACTTGCCTGCCCCATGTTTTTTCAATGGAACAATCTGGCTATTATTGAAATTTTTCTATTCTCTATTATTTCATTCCAAAAATATATACCTAAGGTGTAAAATGAATCTTTGGAAGTTACAGATAATTTTAATTTAATAACAGGTTTAATTCTGAACAAATTTATTTATTTACAAATTAAATTTTTAAAAATTAATAAAAATATCACAAATATTTATGGTACTGTAGCACAAACAAAGATATTATAGATGTCATACAGACTAGCAACATTCAAAATAACCAAATGGGTCAGTCCGAGGGTTAAAAAAGAGAAAATTCACAGTAAAACAATAGCATTAAAGCTCAGTATTGGGTAATTGAGTTTGTGAATGATGAAAAGGGAATATTGAACACCCTGAGATCATTGCGAAAGTTAGCTAATCTAAGCATTCTTGGAATGCAGCTGTTAAAAGCTTGGATACATAAAATGTTTGCAGTTGTCTAATTCAACGAGTTTGTAGAAAATTTATTTTTTTAAGAACTTCGGGACAATTACATTTACTATTTATAATATTAAATAAAACAGTAAAGCAATTTAATTGCAGTTGTGTCAGTAAAATTATGGATCAACCTTTTGATAAAACTCAACATTTTCATGGATTTGTGAACAGCAGCAGAAATGTGTTGATTAAAGCATAAAATGGGATCAAGAATAATTCCAAAGTCTTTAATTTCATAAACAGGGTCTAAGATATGCCCTTTTAAGTTATAGTCAAATGTAGTTGTAGGTAGGTGGAAACGATAAAAATGCATGATATGGCATTTATTGGCAATTAAGTCCATGCCATTTAAAGAACACCTTCTGATAAATTATCGAGGTCAGTCTAAAGTCTACGGGCATCATCATTGATTTTAACAATTTTGAAACATTTTAAGTCATCTGCAAATAATAAAGCTTTGGTGTTATGGAAACAATAAATTATATAAAATGAATTAAAATCATTAAATTCATTTTATTTTACGTCTATCACATTTGAGTTTGATTTATTTTCGTTTTTACAAATTGCCTGCCTGGCCTTTTTGGTTCCACCTAGTTTTCTAACTGGGTACTACAGCGCACTTTGATTTTGCTTACCAGAAACAGATGGCGACACCATTTCCCTACTTGAATTCTTATTCTCTTCATAACCAACTTTATTGTATACTGGTGAAATGTGTAGCATTTGTTAATTCCATTAGAGACTGGAATTGAGTAACCTATCTATTCCTTGCTGAAGAGTCCTAATAAGGACGAAACCGGTCCAAGAATGATGTTCTCCTTAGTGAGCAAAATCAAAGGTAGAGAGTGTTGAAATTTAATTTCTATCTCTGCTGTCTTTCCTTCGGATATAATTCAATACCTGTTGCGGTATTAGCCAAAGGAGTAGTTGTTTTCTGAAGGGGAAACAGTGGTTGGTATTTTATGTGATATTGGCTTTTATTGGCATTTTATTTTACGTCTTATCACATTTGAGATTTATTTTCTAGATGTGACCCCTGAGAAACACCTGAGGTTACTTGACATAAGTTAGAATGGTGGTGATTAGCTCTAAGCATTTGAGTCCTATTAATAAAATAGCTACCAAGCCATTGCAGTAATACCCCACCCATACCATATTAATCTTTTGAAGTAAGAGAGTATGTTTAACCCTGTCAAATGCCTTGAAAAAGTCAGTATAGACAGAATCGATTTGTAAATCTTTTTCCAAGGCTACTGACAAGAAGTTGATATGTGAATAAATTTACCTCTGTTGATTTTCCAGCACAAAAAACCATATTATTTTCAGTTATGATGCCGGTTCAATCATAAATAAGTTTTCAAACAATTTAGGTATTGTGCTGAGAATTGAGATTGGTCAATAATGTTATATTTGCTTCCCAATATTGGGAAGACATAAAAAAGTTTCCAATAATCGGGAAACTCTCCTGTGTCAATTGATTTATTGAAAATATAAAAGATAGGGCGAGACTGCATGAAGCTACAATTTCTTTATAGGATGGGAGGAATAATGCCAGGACCTTTTTTTGTATCAAAGTTTGACAATTTATCGTAAATGGTCGAAATTGGGATATTAACTTTAGATTCAATTTGGTCATCGTTTAAATTTAGGATATGTGTGGTGTAAACTAAAGAAAAATGCCTTGCAAACAGATTTGCTACGTCACTACCGCAATATGCAAAAGAGTTCTCCAAAGTCATTTTATCTGTTATACTGTTATTTGCTCTTTTACTATTTACAAAATTCCAAAAGGCTTTAACATTAGTCTTAACAGAGGTTTCAACAGAATATGTATCATTTGATTAGCATTCTCTAGATAGAATCTTACGTTGTGCTCTTAGCTGACTAAATATTTCATAATTTTGGAGAGTCCTGTGATGTTTATAAATCCTATGAGCAACCTTTTTATCATCAACCAAGCTCCTAAGCTGCGAGAAATACCAGGGTGGAAATTTTTTCGTAGATAGTTTCTTTAAGGGAGAAAAATAAAGCGACCAAAATTGTACAATTGTTTTCAGAGGAGGGTAATGGTCATCAGTTTAATTAATAGAATTGTTATCAATCAATAACAAGTTGTTTTTTTAGGCGTTGAAGCTAACTTCTATTGGTTTCTTTATATACAATGATACAATCGAGCTTCAAATGCTTTTCGCACATTACGTAACATTCCTGGTTTTATTTGTCGACATTCTTGAACAATTCGCAATGCGGCTGCATTGCATAGATTTTGGTTTTGAGGTGTCCCCATAAAAAAGTCTAGCGAGGTTTAATCTGGTGACCTAGGTTGCCATTCCATCATTGGGCCTCGTCCGCCTATCCAATGAGCAGGAAATGTTGGTCTGAAAACTGTCGTACTTCGATAGCGTAATGTGGAGATGTCCTATCTTGTTGAAACGCCAGCAAAGCTTCAGATATCATCATTTTCCAGTCTTCGGGTTATTTTGGGATCAACAAGTAATTGTCAAGTAGAGCGTAGAGTGTAGTAAATAATTGATGACTCTTAGAATATCTTAAAGCTTGATTAAAGGTATGGCGAGTAATGTAGAAATTAAAGTACCTTGCTTTTGGTAATAACTGGCTTTATTTTATCTTCTTAAACTTTGAACTCAATATAACAACCACATAACTTGATTGTGAAAATGTTTAACATAATAAACTGGACACAAAACATGCCGGGTTTAAAAAATCTTTCGTTACATACTTATGTGTTGCAGTTTTTCCGGGATGAGCTGCGCTATAGCTGCAGCTCTGGCGGATGTTATTTGCATAATATAACAATATCAACTCTTTCTTGTATGGGGTAAAATATTTTCTCGGTTGTTTTGAGATTTAGTACGGGCATTTAACTGGATTAAATCGCTTCTGTTATTAAATTGAAATCGTTCAGTTCTTTTGAGTTTTAGTACAGGCCCTTAACTGAATTAAACTGTTTCTGCTAATAAAATTTTAAACAATTCACTTTACACCTCATGTGTACATTTTTGGAATCAAATATTAGAGGAGTATAGAAAAATGCAATAATATACAAGGTATAACATTAAAAAAACAAGTGTGGCTATGGGGAGGAGAGGGTGAAAGATATTACTATACAGAGTGACTTTCATAGCCATCCTGGATTAAAAAAGAAACTAACAAGATATTACCGCCATAATAAAGTTTTGGTAAGTATTTTGTTGTTGTTTTACTTCTAGTAAAGAATATCTAAACGTTTTAAGGCAGCTTTTTCTTTGTTACAAAAAAAAATGAAAATATTAGATAAGAAAGTAAACATGGATTTAACTAAACGATGTACATTGTACAGGGTGAAGGCGTATTTACATACGAAAACACAACCAAAACCACTAACTTTTGTAGAAATCCAGTAGCTTACTACATAGTTACCTACTAATTAGTTTTGTGATTTCGGAGCATTTTTTTAATTTTAATGCTTTTTGAATTTTTTGCTTGGTAAGAAAATTTGGCGTGGTTTGTATAGTGTTTGTTACAACAACAAAAAAATCGACAAAGGTTAGCAGATAGAAATTTTATTTCAATTGACAGATTATGCACCAGTTGAAGATTGGGGTCCTGAGTATCCCATACCTGGGATTGTTCGACCGAATGTGCCCATTCCCACGTTGTACAGCGCAGATGGTAAGTAAAATGGTTTGAAATTGTAATATGAAATTTATTTGTTGTCCGTTTTTAACGTACTATCGGCCAGACTTTTGTAGAAAAAAGTTTATCTATAAGTTTTTTATGAAAAATCGTATGTTTTGGATCAAAATGTCCATCAAAATATTACCCCATATAAACATCATGAGGCGAAGTCTAACTTACGTTACTCAACTTAACCTCAAAGCGGATTTAGATAGAAAATAATTGTTAACACCGTTAAAAAATAAGAAAATTTTCTACAAATTCGAGTTTAATTTCTTAATAATAAGACCTCTACAGGCGAACAAAAAAACTATATGCGCATAGTTAAAGTGAAAATATATATTGAAACTAAAAAGCCCGATAAGATTTTTGATGAATATTTCGTATTTTTGGATCCAAAATGTTTATTAAATTGGCCTATATCAAAACATCACCCTAGATATAATATGAAAAAAGTTCGTGATTAATTTCTTAATAAAACATATCTAATTTTCATAATTAGGGTCCATAATTATTAAGTTTTGACGTTCTGAATAATTTCAAAATGAAATTAAAAATATTAGAAATTTTAATGACCTTCAAATATTAAGATTAGGGATTATTTTTAGGACAACGCATGAAGCCAAAGTTCAGTATAGTCGAGTTAGTTCTGTACAATATAGCAGCCCTATTAGCAGGAGTAGCATCCGGATATGACGTAAGATTATCAAACGTTTCGCCTTTACATCCAAGACTGCAACCAAATAGGTAACTATATAAATTATTAGATGTGTTTGTTTATTCGGTTACTAAAACTTTGGTATGTTACGACAGGATGCATGATTATTATTTGTCAGCAAATTCAAAATGGCGACGAATCTGTGATAAAATAAAAACATGTTTCTAAAATAGACCATAGAATTTTTTTTAAATCGTCGTTGGTTGCCCTTTTGAAAGCTGTAAAAATATCGAATTTTTATTTTTAATGAAATGATTCTACAACTATTTTGCACAATTTCTATGAATTTAAGATTTTTATAGTAACTGGTTTAAAACTAGTGAATATTTACAGATGGCTGTGTCGCATTTCTAGAAAGGCATAAGATGACTTTATTCGCCGGCCATTTTGAAGATATCGAATTGCTGGTTTCAATAAAATCTTTCTACTAGTGTTTTATAAGAATCTGCAAATTTGATATATTTAAAGTAACTGGTTTTAAAATAGTGAACTTTAAAGACGACAATGTCAAATGACTAAAAATGCATAACTCGACTTTAACCGTCCGCCATTTTAAAACCAGCAAAAATATCAAATCATCCTACGAGGTTTTTACAAGATATTTGCAAATTTGAGATTTTTATAGTAACTATGGTTGTAAACTAGTGAACTTTTAAAGATTTTAACCTTTCGCCATTTTAAAACCAGTAAAGATATCGAATTGCTGGTTTTAATAAAATATTTATACGAGTGTTTTATAAGATTCTGCAAATTTGAGATATTTATAGTAACTGGTTTTATACTAGTGAACTTTAAAGACGACAATCTCAAATGTCTAAAAATGCATAACTCGACTTTAACCGTTCGCCATTTTAAAACCAGCAAAGATATCAAATTTCTGATTTTAATAAAATCTTTCTACGAGTGATATATAAGATATATACAAATTTGAGATTGTTATAGTTACTGGTTTTAAACTAGTGAATGTTGAAAGATGGCAATGTCTAATTTCTAGAAACGCATAACTCGACTTTAACCGTCCTCCATTTTAAAACCAGCAAAAATATCAAATCATCCTACGAAGTTTTTACAAGATATTTGCAAATTTGAAATTTTTATAGTAACTATCTAGTGAAGTTTTAAAGATTTTAATCTTTCTCCATTTTAAAACCAGTAAGGATATCGAATTGCTGGTTTCAATAAAATGCTACGAGTGTTTTATAAGATATTTGTAAATTTGAGATTATTATAGTTACTGGTCTTAAACTAGTGAACTTATAAAGACGGCAATGTTAAATTTCTAGAAACGCATAACTCGACTTTAACCGTCCGCCATTTTTAAACCAGTAAAGATATCAAATTTCTGGATTCAATAAAATCTTTCTACAATAATTGTTTCGTACGATTTTAGCGAATTGAAATGTTTTATGTGAAAATTAAACGTCATATCCCAATTAAAGTTGAATAAAAGATTCTAACACAGTATACAGAACAATCAGTATTGCTACTCAAATTTTTCTCAAGATCTGTACATCAGAATTGCGTCGCTTGCGTTGCCATTTTTTCAGGATCAATATACGAGTTGTCAAGCGATGTGCTGTTGCCAATTATGATAGTCTTTTGCTAGTGTCGTATCCAGACAGATGTCTTTCCAGTGATGGTCTCCACATATTAAACGTTTGCTTCACATCCGTTAATTATAAATAATCATGTATTTATCACACATCTTTTAAACTTAAACTTTATTGAAATCTCAATTTCAGATGGAAGACCAAAGGTATTGTAGTTGTAAATTTTATAAATTTTAATAAAACGGTTTATGCATATATAAGAATTATTTAAAACTGGATCTGTCATTACATCAAAAACTGTGAACCCGGATTGGCGACTGATGGAGTCGCCTGGCAAACCCCCTTTATCTTTATGGAAAACCGTGACCTATACAGATTAAAGGCACTGCTTGAAAGTAGCACTACTGATTATTCTCTATAAAGTGTTTCTAATCTAACCACGAACATTTCTTTCTATTCGTAGGTTAGAAGTAGCCGAACTACCAGCGTGGCGCCCTGTGGAAAACCAAGATTACGAATACTCAACGACGTCCGGTTACAATCACAACACTTATCACGGCCCCACCAAGCACTATCGACCCATGTTAACCGGTTCGCATTTAGTCACTACGAAAAACGAAGATCTGAAGCCTCTGCGGTTCACAGATTCTCCGCAGCACAACCCTGTACCGAACCCATCGCCCAGAAGGAAGTCCAGTTCGACCAGCAACGATGGTTCCGAATTGTATACAGGTTTCGAAAGAAACGCCACCATCTACATCCCAGGGGATTACCATAAATGCCAGTCAGATGTCGGACATTGTATAGGTTGCGTCCGAGCTGATAATAGTTATATTTATGATGGTTTGTACCCCGGGTACCATTCTGAATACAGTGGTTCCACTACTCTATATGGTTACGGTACCGATTATGCCTACGAGAACCCAAGCAGCATTAGCAGCCACAGTGGGCCTAGAACACCACAAAAATTACCTATACACACTCATAAAAGAACGCCTTCAAACGTTTCAAACACCAGTTCAACTACTACAAGCGGTTCCAATATTAATCACAGTTTTCGATTAGAAGAAGAATATTCCGCTAATCATTATTTACCTAGGAGAACGTATGATTATGATTACAATGCGTATCCGAGGCAGAACTCTAGTGAAAACAATTTCGAACGGCCTACAACTTTGGATACGTCGGGTTACACGAAATTACGATCAAGTTTGAAACGCAGCAATTACCAGAATACTCAAGGACACTCCGGCGGGAATACCCCGACGAATCCTACGCCTCCCGACAGTTTGACGAGCGATGACAGCTCTTACGTGTCGGCTAAAGAAAGCAACAACAGCGTGAGTCGAGTGAGATTCTCTCCGACCACGTTATTGGATCTACCTGTACCTGGACAGCAACAGGATCCGACGGTACCTTTGCAGGCGAGACGGACGAGGCTGAGGCCGTCTTTAGTTGAAATCGATAAAGAGTTTTTGTCATAACCTCGTCCGGTGGGTGGTTTTTGGTATTTTTTATGGTATCAATATTAACCGTTGTGTGTTTTTTTGGGCGGATAATGTGACGAACTATTTCTTGCCTTAGTATCGGTTTTGTAAGTTCCAATCACCTCGTACATCACTTTTTCGTCTTTTGAGGTTTCTATTGTTAAAGGAGATAAAGGAAACAAAGAGGAAGAACAAAAAGCGACAAAGAAATATTTTCGTTGATTTGATAGGCCAAGGAACATTAGTTCCTCTTTTTCTTGGTTTTGGCAGCAGTTCAATTTCTGAGTTTGTGCTCCCTTATATCTAGCTCCCTATTTATAAACAAATAGAGCATACTGAATAATATTAATAAGATGTGGCATATTTCGGTGACCTTTGGCCATTGTATTGGACCTTTTTCGAGAACTAGCTTTGAGTCCGCTTAGTTTTTATTTTAAATTTATCTCCATATTTTTTGTTTTACTTTTAAACCTTAGCGATTTTTTGTTATTCCAAGGGACTAGAACTATACATTAAATACGTAGTCCTTATGATCTACGACGTATATATAGTATATTCGATTTTATAATACTATGTGCCTTCATCATCGTGAATTAAAGATTATTTTATGATTCGCGTGCAATTTAAGCCTTTTTATCGATTTATCACAGTTTCAAAGAGCCGTTGTCGAATATAGCATTAAATAGGTAATCCTAACGTTCTACCGTTACATTTGATATATCATTTTGTCTTTATAGCACACAATCAATTTTACGATAACTCGACGAATGACAGATTCATGATTAAGATGTTATATGACTATGATTTCATAATTCTAAAAAATTCCAAAAGGATAACAAATTACAATCGTTATAAGTATGACTCAACATTACCCTTTCAAATTTAGTCAAAATCTGACCAATATTACCTAAGTTAGATAACCTCTTTACAATGCTTCTCCGCATCTTTTGTCGTTATTTATCACATCTATATGACTTTTTACATTGAATATCGTTCACCCCATACAAATTTAACTAACAATAACGAAGATAGGAGTTAGTGCCTTTTTGACGATACTACTGGGCATGTTTTGCCAATTGTCATGTCACCTTTCAATGTTAACTATTAAATATGTTATCTATCAACTCAAACAGTGATACCAATTCCCCGCATGTCCTAATCCAACATATTGTCAACATCAAACTTAACTGTCAAATACGTCATCTGTCAACTCACCCAGTGATACCAATTTCCCCATCAATGTACCATATCAATTTCATCCATCAAAGTCAACTGTCAAATATGTTATCTGTTTACTCAACCAGTGATACTAATTTCCTTGTGTCTTAATGTTCAAGTGCACCATATTATTGTGGACGAGGAAGATATAAAAAATGTTTCGAATAAAATGGGCGTGGAAAAGTTTGCCTTTAATTCAGAAAATTATTTTCTAATTCCGAAACAAACTAAACCATTTTTAAAAGTATTTCGATAACCCTTAGCTTCACACGCACTTGTACCACTTTTTAAACGAGGCTTCTCCATTTTTAACAATTTGGAACAAACTAAACACAAACCACAAAAAAATTAAAACTACTAAAATAATGGATTCCCAAGTGATGCAGAACTTTTTTTCAAGAATAAGTGAATTTTTTTTTTTAATAAAACTTTTTCTTGTGCCTATAAAACATTTTTAAACACTGTGCAATGGATTTCGACGTGCTTTTGACAACAAGAAAGTGTATTCAGATATTAAGAGCACGTCGCAATCCATTACACAGTGTGTTCCAAAAAGTTTTATCACACATTTAAAAATAAAATATTCTTTTTAATAAGTTCTGCATCACTTAAGAATTCATAATCAAAATGTAGGTGGTATGCAGGGAAAATAGAAATAGTTTTTTTTTTTTTGAGGTAATTGAATACTTAAAATCAACCCTGATTTCTCTAAATTGCAACTTTGAGTGATCTATCTGAATTAGGGCGTGGTTCAAAGCCCACTTGTACTGAAGCTCTAGGCTTATTGTACCCCTCACAGTTTCTATTCCATCAGATTGATTTTCTTGATGAATTCAAGAATATGTCTGATGGGCGCTTTCGCGATTTCTTCAGGTTCCGGATATTGTACCCTGAAGTACCATTCCGGTTCCCATTTAAGGTTCCGACAGTGGCATAGTATGTGAATAGGAGTTTCGTCCTCCTCTTCACATATTCTACATCAGATATCTCTAAGAGATTTAGGTGTCTTCTAAGGCCGCAGTATCCCGTAAGGAGTTCTATTACGGCCTTGAGTTCGCTTCTGCTAAGGTTTAGCAGTTGATGTCTGCTCGTGGATGGTCCCTCTATGAATCTTTTGGACTGTCTTAAGTCCAGGAAGTTCCATCCAGAGACTATGGTGTTCTCTATGTATTTGTTCCTTTAACACCCATTTAACATGTTGGTATGAGATACCACATGTGGGTTCTGGTCCAATAAGAGTTTTTTCCGCTCCCTTACTTGCTAGGAGGTCTGCTTTCTCGTTTCCAAACACTCCCTTATGTCCTGGCACCCATTCAAGGGTGACCTTGTTATGTTCTGCCAGGGCCTGGAGGGACAGTTGGCAATCAAATATTGATTTAGATTTGTACTTCTACCCTTTTCAGTGCTTTAAGGGCTGCCTGACTATCTGTCATGATAAAGATCCTCTTATCTCTAAGAGAGTCATTTAGTGCAGGCATTTATTGCTGTTACTTCAGCCTGGAAGACTGTTGTCAGTGACCCCAGGTTCAAACTAATTGTCCTCCCTGAGTTCACATGGTAGATCCCAGCTCCTGTGCTGTTTGAGTGATGATAAACCTCGACATCAATGGAGCGGGACCCAAAACAATGGCGATTTGACGTTAAACTAATACACTTCATTATATTCAGTGGCGCAAGTAAGATTTACCCTCTTTTGTTGGTATTAAGGTCTAGATACTGTTCCTACTTAAATGACCTGCTGTACTCGATCTTTTCTTATTCATGCATCATTTATAGAACCTTCTTCTATTTTTTTTACTCCTTATACCCTTATCATAAGTTCCATCTTTAGTTCATTAAGGATTTCCTCTGTAACAGTGTTACATATATTTTTGACACGCGCCTTTACATCATGGGTAGACTTTTGTAGTTTTGTTAAATATTTGTTTCTAATTTTGACATATAAGGACATTTGTGATCGCAGCAAGTGTCAAAATGATCTACTTTATGCAATCAGTTGCATAATGTTGAACATTATGAAAGTGGTTTCGAAAAATTCATTAAACCACCAGTTGCGAAAAGTAAAGAAATGAAAATTAACCCTTTTGGTTTTAAAATCAATAATATTACATTATTATTGAAAGTTTATTCAAAGAAGAGCACAGAATTTGGTTAAACTTACAACCTAGTAATAATGTTATTTTGGTTTTTATTTTTCATTCTAAATCAGCACAATATAATTAAAACACATTACACCTCAAAATAACCCACTTTTTTGAAAACTAAATAACTTTAATAAGCCATATAAACCACTACAAATCGTTGAGAATAAATAATTAATATTATGTTATGTCAATAAAATAATACGTATGCAACTAACAATACAAGAAATTAGTTATATTGGTTGCCTATTTGTTAGTAATTTCTTACCAAAATACATTTTTATAAATAATTCTAGTCAAAATTAGAAAAAACATTGTATGTAACACGTTACGAATTGCCGTTTTATGTAACTCGTTACATAAAATAAGGCATTTCGCAATTGGTTTCATAAATACCTATTAAATTCCCCTTACACTAAAGAAGTATTAAATAATGTTTCGTCACATTATCCGCTTGTGATATTTACTAGTCTAATTTTTGCTGTTTTAATTTTTTTTATCATTTATTTTTGAGCGATCGTTTTTTTTTTTTTCGTTACTACATTTCTTGCAGAAGAAAATTCGTAAGACGTGTGATTTTATTTATTATTTAATTTTTTTTCGATATTTTAAACTAGAAAATCACCACAATGAATGAAATTAACTGAAATTGACTTCAGTATTATTTTTGTCTCGTTTTTTTACACGTTTTTTAGAATATTACGTAATATTTTCGGGTATTATGTAATATTTATCTGATATTACATTTGTATGTAATATTCGAGGTAATATTACGTAATAAATTTTCGATATTATGTAATTTTATAGTGCTCAATTATATTTTATAAAAGGTATTGCATCTAGAACGGAAGGAAAACATATTGCGACGTAGCGAACTAAAAAATTGTTACAAGGTGTGCACGAAAAGTAACAAATTAATTTTTTGCTCGATAGGAATACAGTTAAATTTTGAAATTGTATGCAGTACAGAAAGCTGACAATGTTGCCATATACAATATCTCTGATACCGATCAAATCGGTTTTGGAGATATTAGGTATACTAATGTTTTTACTTCTATTATCTCACTTTTAACTTGATTTTCTGAAGATGTCAAAAATTCAAATACCTATTTTCACGTCTGACGTTTTGTTTTTGAGATTTACTGCATACAATTTGAGAATCGAATATTTGCCAAAGAGTTTGCTGTCGTCGCCATTTTCTATCCGATCCTTTTTAATCGCGATATAAATGAATTTCTTTTGATCTTTTCGTGTTAGAAGCGATACCTGTATATACTGATTAGAAAAAAAGAAATAATGCAGCTAAATTGTAAAATATACAATCTATTGTGCCTGTGCCTGCGTGTACAGCTTTTGTACAAGTGATATAATCTAAAAAAATAGTCATTTTCGTGCAATTTTTAATAAAATGCATTTTTTGCAGCTCATTTTAGCAATTATATCTTATTATCAATATTATTTATGTAATTCCTCAAATTCCATTCCATATTTTTTAAACCTGCCTTTGAAATACGCGGTGGATCAACAAAAACGAAATATTTTTCGGAAATTTAACAAATATAATTGGACCAATATTGATTTAACATTATTTGATGGGAAAAAGATCCTTCAAATATTGTCAGTTGATCTGGGTACCATGTATATTTTTTTTTATCGATAGTTAAGTTTTTGCTGGGACACCTCGTATAAGACATATTTTGTATTTATATTTTTAATTTAGCGTTTGAAAAAGTTTCGTCCAAATACACAAGTATAAATTGCAGGTATAAGAATGGAAATACCTCAAATTACAGCCCATACAATGTACAGCACCATAAAACTAAACTTTTTTTATCAGGATAAAATCATCAAGTAAAGTGTTTTTATTACTCCAGTGGGAGTTTCAATTGTTTTTAGTGTCTATTAATTACTAATTTTGCCAAAATATTTGAAGGTTACATGTCAAAAATTAAATGCAACTTGTTATTTTTATGTTTAATTCAAAATAATTTACTTCATTTAAAATCAACATTCTTGAATCGTCAGAAAATCTGTTGATGTCAAAACTTTCTAATTTTAAATGGGACACCACTATTCTGCCCTCCTAAGCCAAAAAGCGGTATCTAAAAAAACGATTTCTATTTTTTAACGCATCAGATAGCTTGAAAAATGTCTCATCAGATGAACTAAGAAAAATAGCAAAATCTCACTCAGAAAATTAAAAAAAAAATCTAAAATAAATTTACATATATCAACTTCACTTGTATTTACTAAAAATCTTAGGGTTATGCCATTATTACTAAGCATAAATGGCTGCATATCCATATACGGCACAAGAACTTCAAAAATAATAATCAAAAACAAAATAGTTATGTATGTACGGCAGCGTAGAAGGGCCACATTTTTTTAATTTTTTTTATTTCTAAAATTCCGTGTTAGAACACGGAATTCCTTGTTCAAACACGGAATTCCTTGTTCAAACACGGAATTCCTTGTTCAAACATGGAATTCCGTATTCAAACACGGAATTCCTTGTTTGAACACGGAAATATAAACTTCGGTGTTCTAACACGGAATTTTCGTGTTCCAACAAGGAATTCCTTGTTTGAATATGGAATTCCGTATTCAAACATGGAATTCTGTATTCAAACACGGAATTCCGTATTCAAACACGGAATTCCTTGTTTGAACACGGAAATATAAAATTCCTTGTTTGAACACGGAATTTTATTTTTGAACTATAAATTTAAATGGCGTATTTATTTACAGGTTTCTCTTGGGTGACTTGGGGATCT